TTTTCAAATATAAGAAAAACTAAAAGGAGATATTCTGCATTATTGTTTATGCCTCATTAACCAGGTTACAGAGAATGATAAATTTCACAGTGTACTCCCAGGAGATGAAGACTTCAAAGACCACGACTTATAACCAGGACATTTTTGTCCATTGGGAAAGACATTAATTAAGGACTCTCTCCAGCCCAGCTAGTGTGGCTCAGTGGTTGAGTGCCGACCCATGCACAAGAGGTCGCCAATTTGATTCCCGGTCAGGGCACATGGCCAGGTTGTGGGTCCGATCCCCAGTGAGGGGCATGCAGGAGGCAGCCAATCGATGTTCTTTCTCATCAATGTTTCTATCTCTCTATCTCCCTTCCTCTCTCTCTAAAGTCAATAAAGAAAAAAAAAATTTTTTTTTTAAAGACTCTCTCCAACAGTATTGGAAGAGACCTTACCTTATCAGGTACTTAACCAAGAATGGACATCTGCCCCTGTCTCTGACACTCACTTCCATCAATAACAGAGATCAAAGACTTTTCAAGGATGAGAAGCCACTGACCACAGGGGCAGACAACTATCCCAAGACGCCAACAAAGCCTTTCTGCTCACAAATTAATGCTGCTCAAACCTTGTTCTTTTATCACCTAATTATAATTGACTAAATGTATATAAAATGATTTTTATATTGTTTTTATCCTCCTTACGGTTTCCTAAGAGAAACAATATCTGTCTCCCCAGACACCCTCTCTTATTAGATACAAAAATTTTAATTTTGGTGCCTGCTAATCTTTCCCACCTATTAGACAATGATATTCTGATTATCAGTTGTGATAATGAAATAGTAGAGAGTCTTAATTCATCTGGTCAAACATATCATAAGGTATAAGTGACAGTGAAAGAAGAAGAAAAACACAATTTAGCTTAATAAAAAACTATGATAATACGTGTAAAGGGATTTTTGGTTGGCTGTAATGCTTGTTCTCCTCATACCCCTCTTTGTCTAGTGTTAGACATTTTCTGTTCCTAATCAGTGTTACTGGTTAAACATTGTGCTTTTGTTCCTGGTATGTAAATGTTATACTAGATGCAGAAAAAAATCACTTAAGACAGGCAGCAAAAAGACTCGGACCATGGTAGCTCAAAAACTAGAAATCACCCAGAGTATTTTTAACAAGGACATAGGATCCGACCGCCTCCCATTCACCTGCTTTTTTAGTTTAAATAATAATAATGATAGCAATAATAATAATAAATTGACCTTGAATGCCATCTAAGGCTATGATCTTGTTCCATCCCCAGTGGTCCACCCAGTTCAGCAAGACAAAAGCTGACACTGAGACTTCCTAGGAATGAGCCTTCCTAGCACTGTGGGACCCCATTATCCAACCCAAAGGTTGGTCATCAATGCATCCTTTGGATTGATTTATAATCAAAAAGGGGATGTGTGGACAAAAAGATGCCACATGCTAACCTGATAAGCTCAGGGGAGGCCTGCGTGACTGACTTACAAACTCAGAGAACTGAAATAATCACATAAGGATGGTCTGGAATTAAAACTTTTTAACTAAAAAAGTTTATGGTGGCTAGTCATGTCCTAGGCCGGCATCTTCCCTGACAAAAGTCGATCTTTACCTTAACTGAACCTGTCTGTTTCTTTTTGCATCTATGATAACATATCCGTGTGATCTAGGCCCCTTGGCTAAGGTGACTAAGTGACTCCGTTTTTATCAGCAGTGGACATTCTTCAGTATTTTTCCAATAATAGGTTGATTACCCCTAGAAGTAAAGGAACTTTGCCTAAGGTTATGGTTGACCTATGTAACGGGATGTATCTTGCATAAACTCACCCTGACAGTTTCTGAGTATCAGGAACTGAAAATCATGAGCCCAGTGAATAATGCTTATCTTGGCTTCAGTAATAACCACTTTTGCAATCACTATTGTGCCGGTTCCCTGAGGGGAAGCCAAAAGAGAATGTGGCTTCTGTCTTTAAAAGTGGATGAGCAAGAACAATTGGGGCTGCTGATTTGGGTAATGTCTGTCCCTGCAGACTGCCGGTGAATAAAGCGCTCCTCTTATTTACAATTCAGCTGTGCATCTCTGATTGTCTCACTGGCTCATCATAACACTTAAAATGTCAAAGTAATTTTTCTTTTTCCGGACCCCTCAAAGCACCGGCACCACTCTGCAGTGACCACAAATCCCCTCATTGTTATTGAGTTAATTGTTGACTGTTAACTATCCTGTACCCATTTATGTAAAAGAAGTATGTGTCTATCATTTTTCTTTTCATCCAATCCCAGAAGTTCCCCCACTTTGCTTTCTCCTGCCTCCTTAATCTGTCACCAATGGATTTCATGTAACTCACTTGTGTCTTCTCTTTTTATTGTAATGTATAAAATAAGGTGCAAAACTGCCATTCTCTGGAGCATTATCTCAATCCATTGAGATTTTGCTTCCCAGCAACTGTCGACAGTTTGGCTCAAATAAATTCACAAAAATTCTCTGTAGGTTTGAATGTTTCTTACATTGACACCTGTGTTAGGAAAGTCTGGGTGGTGGTAAAACAATAGCACCAGCCACTCTCCCCCTCCCCCTACCTAGATGGTATGGCCAGTGGGAAGGCTGAATGGGATTTATCGGGACAACTTCATGGGTGGCAGCCAGTGCAGCAATAAACTTAAGTCCTAATAAACATCAGTCCTTATAAACCCATGTCTTTCACAGCCCGTCCTCAGGGTCAGTTCTTTGGAATCCACAAATAACATGCTGAGGTTTTCTGGGATCACAGCACTTTGCATAACACATGGATTACAAGAAAGAAGATATTATGATTACCAGATTTATGACTACCAAACTGAAAATTAAAAACATTGTTTAAAATTAGCATCCCTATGTCAGCTTATCTGTACCAATAGAAACACTTTCTTTTTATTGATATAATTGCTTCCCTTCTTGTTCTCGTAAATACCCCTTGCCTTTTTCTCCTAATAGGAATACTATTTGGATTTTTGCCTGAATCAGTGATTCCTGAATAGCTATTCTTTCTTATTTGAAATAAATGCTTGTTGCCTCTCACTTTGGCTTTTTATTTTTATGTGAACACTAGAATACTGTATCAAAGTTTAATTTGCAAAAAGTGAAACATGACTTTTATACAAATAATGAAAAAATGTCTGTCAAATACTTTTTATTTTTATCCTCACCCAAGGACATTTTTCCATTTTTGTTCACATAGAGTGGGAAGGAGAGAGAGGAAGAGAGAGAGAAACATTGATGTGAAAGAGACACACCAAGTGGCTGCCTCCTGTACAACTCCAACCGGGGCCGAGGACAAACAGCAACCTAGATACGTGCCCTTAGCGGGAACCGAACCCGGGTCTCCTCTGGACTGCGGGCCAACACTCTAACCGCTGAGCCAAACTGGCCAGGGCTCAAATACTTTTTTAATTAATGAAGGAACAGTAAGAGGGTAAAGCTAGTTCAAGAAACGTTTTGAGAAAAGTATTTACAGTGCACTTGAAAAGGCATTTGAAATATACTCTGAGTTAGACAAAACTCAATGTCCTATATGGCAATAAAACTAATCTTTCAGCCCTGGCCAGTTTGGCTCAGCGGTTAGAGCGTCGGCCTGCGGTCTGGAGAGACCCGGGTTCAGTTCCCGCTAAGGGCACGTACTTCGGTTGCAGTTTGTCCCCGGCCCTGGTTGGTCGTGCGGGTGGCAGCCACTCAATGTGTCCCTTCACGTTGATGTTTCTCTCTCTCTCTCCCTTCCTCTCTCTCCCGCCCACTCTATCTGTACAAAAAATGGAAAAATATCCTCGGGTGAGGATAAAAAAAAAACAAAAAAAAAACTAATCGTTCAGGTTATCTTTTCTATTGAACAGATGTCAGTAAGTTAATATATAACCTCACATTATTTTCTCACATTAGTGGTTTTCAAAGTATAGTGCCCAGCCCTGGTTGGTTTGGCTCAGTGGTTAGAGCATCTGCCCTTGGACCAGAGATACCCGGGTTTGGTTCCTGCTAAGGGCACGTACCTCGGTTACAGTTTGTCCCCAGCTCCAGTTGGCGTTGGCAACCAGTCGATGTGTCTCTCTCACATCAATGTTTCTCTCTCTCTCTTCCTCCCTCTCTCCCTTCCACTCTGTCTGAAGATGAATGCAAAAATGTCCTCAGGTGAGGATAAAAACAACAACAACAACAACAAAGTATAGTGCCCAAACTGGAATCATCAGCGTCATCTGGGAATATGTTGGAAATGCAAATTTTCAGTGCCCCCCAACCCCGCTCAATCCCTGGGGATGGAGCCCAGTGATCTGTTTTAATAGCCCTGCAGGTGATACTGATGCAATGTAATATTTGAGAACACTGCTATAAATAGTCAAATAATTTTTTTATTTTTGAAAATAATCTTTATTTTTCAAACAAATATCAGATAATGCTTCAGTATGACATTAAAAGGACATGCCACCTGGCTGGTGAGACTCGGTTGTTGAGCATCGACCCATGCACCAAGAGGTCACCAGTTCAATTCCCAGTCAGGGCACATGCCCAGGCTGTGGGCCCAGTCCCCAGTGAGGGGCATGCAGGAGGTGGCCAATCGATGTTCTCGCTCATCAGTGTTTCTCTCTCTCCCTCTCCCTTCCTCTCTCTCTTAAATCAATAAAGAAAAAAAATTGAAAAAAAAATTTAATAAAAAGGGACATGCCACCCACCTTTTTTGCTTTATTTCCAAATTTAAATAATTTGACAGTTTGCTGTTTGCTGTTTTGTTTTTCAAATATTCTATTGACTTAAGGCAATTTGCATCTGTTCCTAATTTATATTTTTTCTCCTTTTTAATAAAATGGTTTTCCAATTCTATCCAGTTTTTTCTTTAAGCTATTGATATGATGAAATACAAGTTAAACCATTCCTGTGTTCTTAAAATAAAATTATTCTTGGATATGGTGTCGTATTTTAATGCTGCTGACTTCAACATGCTGGTGTATATGATTTTTAAAAAGTTCTTTATAGTGTTCACTTCGGCAGCATATACACTAAAATTGGAACTATACAGAGATTAGCATGGCCCCTGCACCAGGATGACATAAAAATTCGTGAAGAGTTCCATATATATATGTGTGTGTGTGTGTGTGTGTGTGTGTGTGTATATATATATATATATATATATATATATATATATTTTTTAATCCTCACCCGAGGACACTTTTGCATTCATCTTCAGATAGACCGAGAGGAAGAGAGAAAGAGAGAGACAGAAACATCGATGTGAGAGAGACACATCGAGTGGCTGCCACCCACACAACCCCAACCGGGGCCGGGGACAAACTGCAACTGAGGTAAGTGCCCTTAGCGGGAACCGAACCCGGGTCTCTCTGGACCGTGGGCCGACGCTCTAACCACTGAGCCAAACCAGCCAGGGCGTCCATATATTTTTTTAAATAAAAAGGTTCTTATAAATGAGAACAATTTTGGCATGAATTGGGAATTTGTCCTCCTCTTTCTCTTTATGGAGCAATTTAATTGTTATGGGCTTTGTCTGTCCTTTGAACACTTGAAAGGCTGCAACGGCAAAACCAGCTGGGCTTGGTGTATGGAGGGTGGAGTATAGAATTGAAGAAAGATATCAAACTGTTGAATTTCTTGATTGGTTATTGATGTATTCTCTTGTGTATTTTTGTTGTTTGCTGCTGGGGTTTTTTGTTTGTTTTGTTGGTGGGGGTTGTTGTTGTTTTACCTCACATGACTATTGGAAACTTAGTTTTCCTAGACCATCTATTCCCTCAAACTCACCAGTAAGCAAACTAATGCAATTTAAAACAACCAATTTTGCCCTGGGCAGTTTTGCTCAGCAGTTAGAGTGTCCGCCTATGGACTGGAGAGTCCGCCCATGGACTGGAGAGTCCGTGTTCGGTTCCTGCTAAGGGCAGGTATCTCAGTTGCAGTTTGGGTGGCAACCAGTTGATGTGTCTCTCTCACACTGACGTTGCTCTCTCTCTCTTCCTCCCTCTCTCCCCCTGCTCTATCTGAAGATAAGTGCAAAAATGTCCTTGAGTGAGGATAAAAATAAAACAACCAATATTTCTCCCATTATATCGGGAAATTTTGAGATAAAACATCTAACGTTGGTGAAGCCCAGAGGAAATAGTGTCCCTGAACATGTTGTTACCACTGTCTTTGCTATGCAACTAAGGGAGTTCATCAAAATGAAAGAAAATACCCAGGCACTTAAAGGAGATACCCAGGGTACTGGTAATGTTTTCTTATGTGGGTGCCAGTGCTTTGGGTTGTACAGTTTATGAAAATTCATTAAGCTTTGTACTTATGTACAATTTTCTGTATGTGTGTTATATTTTAATAACGTTTTTAGAATAACGGCTTTCGCCACAGCCTGCAGCTATATAGTGTATGAGCTGTGCTTACCCGTGGAGATCATGGAAATGACCTGAGGGCCCTCCTATGGGAATTACATTAACGCCAGAGCCGGCTCTGGGGCGCCTGCTCCCTTAACTCGAACCAAGTAAATGGCTTCCGCTCCCTATAATCTACTACTTCGGGTTCCCCAGTTAAACTGGAGATGGCGCCGGTCTTTTCCCGGGATGGTTTCTGGGGAGACCCTGACATTTCGCCGAGTAGCAGCTCGGGGTAGGGAGACCCGCCCACTCGAGGAGGCCCCGCCCCACCCGAGGAGGCCCCGCCCCACCCGAGGAGGCCCCGCCCCACCCGAGGAGGCCCCTGGCCGGCGTCACGTGACCTCCGCCTCAGCTGACCCGGAGCAGCAGGAAGGACAAAGTCTCGGGCTGCGCTTCCTGGCGCTATGGTGAGACGTGGGGGATGCTAGGCAGGTGGTGCTGGGCGGGTCCCCCAGATCTCATGGCTGCCTCTGCGGAAGTGTGGGGCGCAGGTGCGAGGAGATGGGGAAGCCGCGCTGGCCCCTCTACGAAGACCTTACCTTTGGTGCAGTCGTGCAGGCCGAGGAGCTGGGACAGAAAAACCCCTGCGGCCCACGCCGCAGCTTGGTGGGCAGAACTGGCGGGGCAGGTGGGAATCCCAGGTACTTCCTTGATGAGAAGGAAGCCCCCCAACCCCCACCCCGGGTCGGATCTGGGGCTCGTTCGGAGCGGTAGTCCTTCCAGGCCTTCCCTGGCTCCAACAGGACCTCCCAGAGGTGTCCACTTCCAGCCATCCTGTGGGACTTGTACAAGAACTTGCATAGAATTTTGGCTCAGTATAATACTTCGCTGTTACGAAGCTCCTTCTCTCTTCCCAGAGCCAGAAAGGAGTTTGGGTTGGGACTTAACCAACTTACCTATCCACTCATTCCTTCAACAGATTTTGAGTGCTTATTCTGTACCATGCACTGTGCCAGGCACTGATACTTCGACTGCAGAAGGAAAGGACAAAGTTGGAGGCTTCCTTTGTCAGTCATAGTTAAGACTCCAGGGGAAGAGACCTATCTGCATCTTGAGCATAGTGTTAGGAAAGCGACCTAAGGACCTGAGGGCAGGGAGGAAATCTGGCTCCCTGCAGTGCAGTTTGCGTACCAGGGCTTAGGAGTCTTGGGGGGGGGGGGGGGGGGGGCGCTATATATTCAGACAGGCAATAGCGCTCTTCACAGACTTAAGGCGTTAGAGACTCCCTAGGGATGAATGCATTTCCTCCAACCGGAAGAGTATTGAGTATTAACTGGAGGTTAGTGAAAGATGAGGCTGGACAGATAAGCAAAGATCAAAGCATGCTGGGTATTGAGAGCCACATAAAGGAGTTTGGACTTTAAGAAAAGGGCACTGGTGAGCTAGAAAGATCATTTTGGCCAACTTGTGGAGGGAGCAAGAGGGGAGCAGAGAGCCCAGGCTGGGGCAGCAGACCCCCAGGAGATGGTGGTGACCTGAGTTAGAGTAGAGAGAGAAGCAGGGAGAGTCAGCAGGGCTCAGGGACTAAATGCATCAGGGAAAAGGAGAGGGAGGTGTCTGGGTTTGGTTCCCAGGTGGCTGTGCTCAGTGGGGTAGGAAATTCAATAGGGGAAGCAGGTTTCAGTAGGAAGAGCATCAGTTTGCAGGGTTTGTTCCCAGCCCCAGTAGAGGTGTGGAAAGATGGACATGTATTTGCCGTGGGTTAGAACCTTGCCAGGCAAACAGGACAATGGAGGATATTGGCAAGACTTGATTGACAGGGTGGGTTTGCATTCTAACAGAGGAGAGAATAAATAATAAAACGTGATACATGTTGTGGTAACTGCTGTGGAGATCAAGCAAGAAGCCTAAAAAGCTAGAGCATGATAGTAAAGAGTGATTTTATTTTTTTTAACAGCTTTATTGAGAACCATACATATGTAAATATACAGGTCGGTATGTTTTGACATGTATGTGTTCATAAAAACATTACCAGGATCAAGATAACACATCCACTAGCCCCTGAAATTTCCTTGTGCAAGGGGCTATTTTAGAAAGTATGGTCAGAGAAGGCCCATCAGAAGAAGTGATATTTGAGCAGAGATCTGAATGAACTGAGAGAGCAAGCAAGCAACAAGAACAATGGTGAGAGTGTACCTGGTGTAAGAAGAACAGCAGGGAGGCCAGTGTGGCTGGAGCCAGAGAGGAAAAGGAAGTGAGAGAGGTCACTGGCTGTGACGCGAGGGACTTCATTTTGTTCTGTGGAATCTGCCACAGAGAAGGCACCCAGTCAATATTTTCTGAACAGATGAATACCTGGGATAGGCATTAGAACATGATTTGGTGGTGAGGTGAGATGAGGGAGAGGGTTCTCTAAACAACCTGGTGCTCAGATCAAGTGGCCAGAGGGCATCCATCTTGGACAGGGAGCAGGGGTCCCTGAGGAACAGTAGTAGAGGAGACACCTGGCCACACGTCAGCCCTCCTTTCAGCCTGACTGCTTGCCTCACTCCCATGCAGAGGTTCCGGTTCTGTGGTGATCTGGACTGTCCTGACTGGGTCCTGGCGGAGATCAGCACACTTGCCAAGATTGTTGAGTGCATGGGGTCTTCTTGGGGGTGGGGAGTGGGGGACAGAGGGATTGGGGTTGGGGGCTCTGGGAGTGGAGGGTGGTGAGATAACTTTGGGGTCTAGGCCTCAGTGCTCTCAGCCCATCCTAGCATGCTATGTGACTGATCACATGACTGACCCTCTCTGAGCCAGCCCCCCAGCATGGAGGGGTAAGGTGGGCCCATCTGGCTGATATAAGGCCTTCCCCTCCAGTCCTCCGTGAAGCTGAGGCTGCTGTGCAGCCAGGTGCTGAAGGAGCTTCTGGGACAGGGGATTGATGTGAGTGCCTGGCCCAACACCCCATTGTCCCACAACCCTATGACTCCCCCAACTGCCCTGAGAGTACACCAGACCCAGGGAGGTGGGTGGGTGATCAGCCTCCTGCCTTCCCTGGATACTGCCCATCTTTACCACAGAATCGAGGTTGGGGGGTGGGTTGGCAAGCAGGAGTTTGGCACCCCTAAGGGCCTCCTTTCCCCACAGTACGAGAAGGTCCTGAAGCTCACTGGCGATGCCAGGTTTGGTGAGTATCCCACTGAGTCCATGGACTTTGGGCAACTCTGGCTCTTTGGCCTGAGTTGCTGGTTCTTCCCAGCAGCTCGCCCTGACCCACCTGCCGCAGCAGAGGAATCTGAGGGAAGAAAGACATTGACAGTCCTGCCCCAGTGTCCTCTGCCAGCAGTAGCAATGCCCATGGCTCAAGGAGGCGTGGGGGCTCTGAGCTGAAGATAGTAGGACAACAAGGAGGTGGCTGGGGCCACAGTGACACCCCCTACCCCACCATGGGTCTCCCCAGAGTTGGGCGATGTGAAAGCCACGGTGGCAGTACTGAGTTTCATCTTCTCCAGTGCGGCCAAGCATAGCGTGGATGGCGAGTCCTTGTCCAGTGAATTGCAGCAGCTGGGGTTGCCTAAAGGTATGCAGACCTGGGCAGGCCAAGGGCTACAGGGCAGCAGGCCAGGCCATGTGACTCTGAGATGTGCCCTGCCCTCTCTGGGCCAGGAGCCCGAGACCTGCCCTCTGAGCAGCCCCACCACCCACCTGCTCACTTCAGGGGTCTCCATTCTCCCCCAGAGCATGCAGCCAGCTTGTGTCGTTGTTACGAGGAGAAGCAAAGCCCCCTGCAGGAGCACCTGCGGGCCTGCAGCCTGCGTAGTAAGTGTGGAGTCAGCCAAGGTGGGATTTGGGGTCTGTTCTAGAAGGTGCATATAGCATGGAAGGTGCTCGTCCTCAGAAGACTTATCCATGGTCACATGTCACAATCACAGAGCCAGGACTCCTGACTCTAGCCAGGGTTCTTTCCTCTGAGATCTGTGGACAATCTGAGTTCCCAATTATTGAGCACATGCCATGAGTCAGAGGTCAAAGGAATAAGAGCTTCCCAAAGGCCACACAACCTTGAAGGGTTGAAGGCTGAGTGAGGGGGTGGGCTGAGGGCTGCATGGCCCACCTGCCGTGAGCCTGAGTGCCCCACCCCTTCTCACAGTAAGTAGGCTGGCAGGCATGGGCTGGCGGGTAGACTATATTCTGAGCTCCAGCCTGCTGCGGTCTGTGGAAGAGCCCATGGTGCACCTGCAGCTGAAGGTGGCAAATGCCCCGGATGCCCCAGCCCAACCTGTTGCCATATCGCTCTCTGCAGACAAGTTCCAGGTCCTTCTGGCAGGTAAGGCTAAGCTGTACCTGTAAGGGCCCCCTTCCAGGTTCCACCTGACTGCTGCCCAGCTACTTACCTCTTCCCCTGCAGAACTGAAGCAGGCCCAGACCTTGATGAGCTCCCTGAGCTGAGGAGAAGAGTGTTTGTGGCCCACATGGAGCTGCCCTACCTGTGTCGAGTCGCTGCACTTGAAACTTCAGGACTCCAGTTCCAGAACCCTGAAGGCCTGGCCTACTGGATCTCTGGCTTTCTAGGCTCCTACTCGAGAATTCAGCATAGGGATCCTGGGGACTTTTCCAGCATTGTCTTCCCTCCCCCTTAAAAGATACCTGTTCTTGGTTTTCCCAAGCAGGAAGAATAAACAGAAACGTAAAGGAGTATGTGCATGGGTTTCTTTTTAGGTTCAGATCAAAGGTTTTTGTGAGAGACCAAGTGACATATGGACCTCCCTGGCCCATCACTCATTTTCTCTCTTCAACTGCTGATTGAAGCAGGTGAGGGGTGAGGCACACATTGGACGAAAATGGAACAGCTTGTCTGTAGATGGGAAAATGAGAGTTCTAGCTCCGTCCTATGATGCTCTTGGCTCTGCTGTCTCTATGTGGTCTGGTCCTTAGGCTGGCAGCAAGTGGTGGCCCCAGTGCCAGATGCCCAAGTACATAAAGGAGAGAGCCATTGTCTACCTGCTGTTTAGAAAGAGAAGGGCCCAGGCCTGAAGCACTCATAGCAAGAGTGGTTATGGACTGAATGTGCCCCCTCCCCAGATTCATATGTTGAATCCCTAACTCCCAGTGAGATGGTTTTAGGAAGTGGGGTCTTTGGGAGGTAATTAGGTTTAGGTGAGGTCAAGAAAGTGGGATGCTTATGATGTGCCCCTTTTAGGGCCCTTATAAGAAGAGAAAGACAGAGAGACACTCTCCATAAGCAGGTACCAAGGAAAGGCCTCATGAGAACACAGCAAGAAGATGGCTGTCTACAAGGTAGGAGAAGATTCTCACCAGGACCTGAACCTGGCAGTTCTTGGACTGGAAGTTCTTGATCTTGGACTTCCAAAAACCATGGAACTATGAGAAATAGATGTCTGTTGTCGAAGCCACCCAGTCTATGGCACTTCGTTATAGCAGCCTGAGCAGAGTAAAACAAATGGCTTCCCAGGACTGGCTTAAACTAACCAGGGCTTTTTGTAGAAGAGATTGATTCCAAGGCTGGGGAAGGGGAGTACCAGGTGAGCCTAGAACATCTTGGGAAGCAATTAAAGAATATTGAGTCATGCCCGGGCCAGTTTGGCTCAGCGGTTGGAGCATCAGCCCGAGGACCAATGAGTTGTGGGTTCGATTCCGGTCAAGGGCACATACCTCGGTTATGGTTCATTCCTGGCCCTGGTCCGGTCATGGGCGAGGCAACCAATCAATGTGTCCCTCTCACATCAATGTTTCTCTCCCTCTCCCCTTCCCTCCCACTATCTGATGATAAATAGAAAAATATCCTTGACCGGGGATTTAAAAAAAAGAAGAGGCGGCCCTTGCCAGTTTGGCTTAGCAGTTGGAGTGTCAGCCCGCAGACCAATGAGTCGTGGGTTCAGTTCCAGTCAAGGGCACATATCTCGGTTGTGATTCGTCCCTGGCCCTGGTTGGGGTCATGCAGGAGGCAGCCACTCATGTCTTTTTCACATCAATGTTTCTCTCTTCCTCTGTCTCCCTCCCACTGTATCTGAACAAAAATGGAAAAATGTTCTCGGGTGAGGAAAAGGAAGGAAGGGAGGGAAGGAAGGAAAGGGAAGAAAGGGAAAGAAAAAGAGAAAGAAGAAAGAAAAAGAAAAGAAAGAGAAAGAATAATGAGTCATGTCAAAGGGAGCCAGCTGGCCAAAGACTAGACAATTTAAGCATCAAAAGGATAAGGACTGACTCTGTTACTGACTTGTGCTTCTGGAACAATAGAGCAGATGTGCTTTACCTGATTCTTCCAAGTACAGCTAAAATCTTTGGACATTACATATAAAACAAACAGAAGACTGAAAGGTAGAGAGAAGGGAGACTGGCTAGGATCCTCAGGACCTGGAGAACACAACAAAGTATTCCTTAGATTTTCTTTTTGCTTCATGCATTCTGGACTGGGTGCTAGAGAAGCCAGCAACCTAGAAATTCCAACACAGAGACCAGAAAAATAGCCTCAATAAAAGCCTGCTCTCTCTAGCCAAAGGACCAGGAAAGGGGGTGGTTCAGCAAGACAGAAATCTTACAGAATTATCTAATGCATTCCAGCCATGCACACAAGTGCAGCTCCTATTCCACCTGCCAGCAGAGGCTAAGTAGGGCCCTAGACTCCCCCTTTCCCCACTGGCACTGTGTCAGAAGAGGCCTGCTTTAAAAGAGACAATCCAGAGTCATAATACCCCAAATGTCCAGGATGCAATTAAAAAACTACTCATCAAACCAAGAACCAAGAAAATCTCAACCAATGCCAACACTAAGATGACTCAATGTTGGAATTCTATGTCAAATATGTGTAAAGCAGCCATCATAAAAATGCTTTAAGTCTCAGCAAAGAAATAGAAGCTATAAAGAACCAGAAGGAAATTTTAGAACTGAAAGCTACAATAACCAAAGTAAAAATCTCAATGGATGGACTTAATAGCAGAATAAATGTCAATAGACATCACCCAATTTGGACAACAGAGAAAAATACCTTAGGAAACAAATAACAACAACAAACCCCAAAGGACCTGTATGTAGGACTATGACAAAAGAGCTAATATTCATGTCATCACAGAGTCCCAGAACATGAAGAGAAAGAGGATGGGACAGAAAAGTATTGAAAGAAATAATGGCTTAAAAACTCCCAAATATAGCAAAAGACATAAACCTACAGAGTTAAGCAGAATAGACCTCACACAGGTCAAACCCAAAGAAATCCATGCCAAGATTTATCATAGTCAAACTTCTGAAAACTAAAGGAAAAAAAAAAATCTTGAAAGCAGCAAGAGAGAAATGACACCTTACGTATAGGGGGGAAAGAATAACAGTGGATTTCTCATTAGAAATCATAGAGGCCAGAAGAAAGAAGCACAGCATTTTTCAGGCCCTGAAAGAAAAGTGTCAACCCAGAATTCTATTTCAGCAAAAACTACCTCAAGAATAAAAGGGGAAATCAAGATATTCTCAGATGAAGGATAACTAGTATAATTTGTTACCAGCAAATCTTACCTAAAAATAAAAAGGTTAAAGGAGGATCTCTAAATAGAAGGGGAATGTTAAAAGAAGGAATCTTGAAAAGGGTAAAAATATGTATAGATTTCCCTCCTCGCAGATATTTTAAATTATGTTCAATGGTTGAAGCAAAACTTCTAAAAACGTTGGATGTGGTTCTCAATGTATGTAGAGGAAATATTTAAGGTTATTATAAACAGGAGACAGTAAAGGAAAATAAGGTTTATACACTTCACTGAAATGCAAAATGTCAACATCAGGAAACTGACAAATATACATGTATAATGTAATGCAGTAAGTCCTCAACCTTGCCAGTAGGTTCTGTGACTTTAAGTGAAATGATGTGTAACAAAACCAGTTTAGATAAATCAATTGGAATTCTAAAAAATGTTCAAATATGCCCTGGCCAGTTTGTCTGAGTGGTAGAGCATTGGCCCGTGGACCAGTGAGTCTCAGGTTTGATTCCAGTCTAGGGCATGTACCTTGGTTTGGTCCATTCCCAGCCCTGGTCAGGATCATGTGGGAGGCAACCAGTCGATGTGTCCCTCTCACATCAGTGTTTCTCTCTCCCTCCCACTCTATCTGAAGATAAATAGAAAGACAAGATCCTTGGGTAAAGATGAAAAAAAAAAAAAAAAAAAACCACCAAAACAAAAACAAAAACAGTTCAAGTAGCCTACAGGAGGGCAAGAAAAAGAAAACAAAATGAAAAATGGAACAAAACAAAATGGCAGAAAAAAGTTATGAAAGTTTTAGGTCTCATCAAATGTATACTATTAGCTTCATTTCCCAGGTAGCATTCACAAAATCCCACAGACACTTCTCTCATTGCTAATGTAACAATACATTGTAATTTTGTATTGGTTCATTTGCCTCTTTTACCAGCCTGTTTCTTAGGGATGAGAATTGTGTTCCATGTTTGAATAGCCCCAATGCCTAATAAAGTACTCTTTCAATAAAGGGGTGGGAGGAGATAAGGGCTGCAATGGATTTAAAGATGTTCAATGTAAAAAAAAAATCTGAGTCCATAAAAAAGCCCTGCACCACCATTACCACCACCATCACCCGCAAAAACCCAAATCAATTCTAATTTGTCACCATTGGATGTTGTTATTGTACCAAATTCTTAGTCTGAAAATTGATCATTAAAAGGAAGGAATTCAGAATTTATCTCGTCTTTTTAGTAGTTCAGGATAACCACATAGCCCTAGTCAATGATGAGGTAAAGCTCTTTACAGAAAAATTCCATGTATAATAACAGAATTAGTAAATAACGATTCTTGTGACTCCCAGTTAAATACTTGATTGAGGCAGGAATATCAAAGATGCTAAAGCCATATGGTAAAAGTTGGATGTGATGTTAAACTGGGTATTTGTGTGGTACCAAACAACCACCTGAAACAACACAATGCCCCTCAGCCAGTAAGTATATAAACACATTGATGTGTCCACAGAGTAGAATACTACTCCACAATAAAAAGAAATGAACGGATGAACATAACAATCTGAATGGATCTCATATGCATTATGCTAAGAGAAAGAAACCAGTCTCAACGCCAACTATAATTGAAAAACATTTTTTAAATAAAGAAAACAAATCACTAGGTTTGTACTCCTGAAAAAAAATAATTTAAAAAGTAATTAACTGGCTGGTTAGAGCATTGGCCCATGGACCTAGGGGTTGTGGGTTCGATTTCCAGTGAAGGGCAAATACCTGGCTTGCGGGTTCAATCCCTGGCCCCAATTGGAGTCTGTGGAAGGCAACCAATTGATGTGTCTCTATCACATCGATGTTTCTCTCCCTTCCACTCTATCTAAAAAGTAAAATAAAAGATCAATGCAAAAATAACCTCAGGTGAGGATTAACAAGAAAAAAAAGTAAACTAATTTGAAAATTTTCTTAGAGATATCAAGTAGACACAGCATTTCATAATAGTTTGTTTTAAATGTTTCCACAAATAGACTGCCTATCATCATGGATTAACCTTCTAGAGTATTATTCCAGTAAGTTATAATTATTTAATTTCTTATACCTATTTTTTCTTTTTTTTTTAATCCTCACCCGAGGATATTTTTCCATTAAGTTTTTAAGTAGAGTAGAAGGGAAGGAAGTGGGGGTGGGGTGGGGTGGGGGTGGGGGCGAAACACACACATCAATGAGAGAGAGACAT